TATATATAAATATTTAAAGTTATTTTGAAAATATCTCTGGACATGTGCTCACTTTACTATCTATTAAGTCTTATTACCTATACTCCTAGGATCATTAAAATATTGAAAAATAACATACTCTACATTTTGTTTGCTGCACTGGTAACAGTATCTAATCTGTTTTTTTTAATACATAGTTAATTTAAACCCTACTGGACTTCTAAAACTAAAAGAAACTAGTCTATGGGGATGAATTGGAGAAGGAAATTAAAATAAAAACATATGTCTAACAGGAAGAAGACAGTTACAGGGCATTTTTAATGATTAAATGTACCAATTGTTCCAAACAGGCATTGATATTAATACAATTCAATAACTTTCATTGTGGATAATGATATGAAATATGATCCTATGCTTTAGAAAATCTGTGTTAATCAGACTGTTGAAGAACAATAATTTTCCACCTGTGATACCTAAGGAATAGCCTGCCAAGCAGACACTATAATGCTGTGCGATTATGCAGTAAACAATAGTTGAGAGGGGAAACTTGGGAGTTTCCAAACAAAATGGCTCTGGTGCAAAAAAGGGGAAAGCACCTTGTAATGTCAATAAGGTCACATGGGAGGAAAACACTGCAAAGGGAAAGCCAATCTTTGGAGAGAGGCTGCATGTAATTAGTGGTAGCAGTCACAGTATTTAACAATACAGCTGAGTCTCAGTGACTTCTATTTAAGTACAAGAACAACTTAGAATGGAAGTCAACAGAAAAGTACAATTTCTTTTCAGAACTTAATTTTGCAAGTTTAGTAGCATGAACTCACAAACCAAGATTTTACTATTTTTATCATTATTTTAAAGGTCAGCTAACTTGTTTTAATGCTTCTTAAAGGTGAGATACTGTAGGTCCCTGTGTTTTCTATGATTAATTCATCTATCCTCAAACAGCCTCACAAAAGAGTTATGAGTCCACTTTACAGATGAAGACAGCAAAGCACAAGTAGATAAACTGACTTACTCTAGGTCAGACAGTAAATGGCAGAGCCATAATAGAAGTGTCTTAAATATGAAAAATATTTTTTAGATTAAATAATTGTACAAAGAATAGTGACATGGGACTCAGATACAGAATCAGGTCTATTTCTATGCTACATGGACCCAGGCCAGTTGTCATTATGCTGGGCCCCAGAAGCCTCATCATTAATGAGCATGGAGGATCTGTGGCCTTTTGCATGATGGACATCACATCAAAGTCAAACATAAGGGTTTAACAATGGAAGACCTCAAATTATTTGTATATGTCTATCTGACCAGTGCTTCTCAAGTGAGAGAAGAAAGAGGAAACTTTAAAACATGATTACTCAAATAATTGAATTAAAGTCTTGGGAAACCATAGGAAAATATCTCAGAGGAACTGTGAGATATTGGAAAATTGATAGAGTATTATGAAAATGCACATTCACCTAAAATTTGGCTACCTTTTCATAATTCTCTGGGGTCATTCTCCCCTCTATCCAAGATCAAGAGAGACTCAGATGCCCCATGACACATTCAGGAAGGAGAATGCAGCACAGCGTGTCTGGCAACTGTTTGGAGAAGGTAAACTCTCAGTAACCAGCCCTTGGGCTAAGTAGGGAAAAATCAGGTTTCAGAAAATAATGCTTAAGCAAAGACTAGCTGAGCAGTACTGACACCTGCGTGGAAGAATCAATGACAAATATAAAGCTTGTTGTAAGTCAGCACTAATTGGCTTCAAAACATGCCCTCATCTTCCCCAAAACAGATCATCTAAATACAAAGTTTAG